GGAAACAAGAACTAAGAGATGCACTGAGGCACAAGAAACCCACCAGTGCATCCAGGGCCTTTGAACAACTGCGCCATCCATTGTGGGCAACTAGGCAGCCATTTTTCAGAGAAGAAGCACCTATGAAGAGCGGACCGGGATGAAATTACAGCCATCACAGCGTCTTGGAAGGTGCAAGGGGAATGATTCATCAGATATCCTGCAATCCAATCAAACAGATCGCCTCTACACAAGACAAGCACCACAAGTTCCTTGATTTGTGGGGATGGGGTTCTTTGCCGATCATTGTGAGGTCAGTGTAGACCACTGGCAAGGGGATGCTGTCTAACTATCTCCATTCAGCAAAGAAACATGACATGACAAGTGCGTCGAATTTTCACTTTGCCTGTATGGATGTTCATACATTCATTCAAGCACCACAAGTTTCTGTGGCCGTGTGCCAGATTATAGCACAGCGGCTGATATCGCAACTTATGGAACATGAGTTGGCCACAGTTCACATCTGGTTGGCTGTGGTTGACATCAGAGCCAGCACTTCCCAACAGAGATAACGAACATGGCCCCAATAAGATGCCACTGGTGTACTCTCGCTGGTCGCTGGTAGCCAGAGCTTGCCCATCTCATGCACCGAGCTTCGCCCAAAGTTCCAGGACTTGGGACTCCTAGCAGCCCCCAAGCAGTGCCTGGTAGAGCAAGGCACCCCAAACAACTGGCACCGCCTCATCGCAGAAATGGAGTTATTAGTCATGCATTGACAAAGCCAACCAAGCGGATTCTGGAGAGGCCAGTGCCCATGGGCCTCTGCATATGCACCAGGGAAAAATTTCTCAAATGCTTGCACAGCAAGGGGTTGCCCTTTTTGTCTGGCCACCACTCCTGCGCGTCAAAACACATCTTCCTTGGTGCGCGGTGTGTGGCCTCCTTTCGTTACTGTTTCAACGATCCTTCGGTCAAAAAGGGCAGGGCCAGCACCTCAGACGTGGGGTACTGCGTGGGCGCGTGCTGCGCCAGCCGCTCGTCCTTCAGCATGTGCATCAGCGTCGTCTTCCCGGCGTTGTCGAGGCCCTGCCGACCCAACCAACAAAATTGAGTGAACACATTCCCACCCGCAGCGCGGCAAAAGCTGTCGCGCCTTTGCTGCTGAACAGCGATACTGGGATGGCGTGTGATTCGAAAGGGGGTCCACAACAGCGTCCGGGGCAAAAAGGAGGGGATCGGTGCATTCAGGGGTCGCGGAGCAGAAAGTTTGAAAAGGTGGGGTGACGCGAAAATGTCAATCGGGCTGGAAAATGTGAGCCACCTGGGAGTTGCAGGCTGGCTTGGATGGGGGGGAGACGTGCGGCACCCGGACAAAATACCCCGAAGTGCAGAGAAGATGGCGAAACACTTTCTTTGGGATGCATGTGTGGTCGCGACTTGGAGCAGACAACAGGCCTTGAATTGGGATCCCTCCGGTCCTGGCCGGAAGGCGTGCACAGGCATGATGCAGGAGCGCTCGGCGCCGAAAAGCGAGATTCACGCGAAGGGGATCGCAGGCATGGCGATCAGGGCAAGGAAAGGGTATATAGTGTGGTATATAGTGTGCGATCAGGGATGCCCGCGTCCACGGCTGATTGCCTGGCTGCCGATGATCTCAGAGAGAGACGGATTGGCAAGGGGCAGTGGGAGAGCCAATCGAAAAATCTGTCCAAAGTTAGGACTGGGAAACGAGAGAGGCTCGAGAAGAATGGCCCACTGCGGCGATGGAGCCCTCACCAGGAATAGGATTTTGGCATTCTTGTTGTACAGGCCCAGGTAGTTCAGCACGCTGTAGAACCTGCGTGCCGCCGACGGCCCAAAGGACGGGCCCAGGATCAGCCGCGGCAGCGCCAACGAAGGGAATCGATTGGCGCCAGCGCGAACTGCCAACGGAGGGGGCGGGGAGGGGGATTCGCACCAGTTGATGATGAACATTGCGGCGCCTGGAGGTGATGCAGGATGGGCTGATAGCAAGGAGGGGAGGAGGGCCGCAGGTTTGCGGTCGCTGCTGGAGTTCCCGGCGGGAGGCCTGGGGGAAGGCTGTTGTTTGGTCGTTGGTGATGCCTGGGCGCAGGCTCCATCGATGTGGTGGGGAGGCTTTTGTCCTTGTTGAGTGTGCAGTACTTTGGGCGAGGTTGGGAGCTGGGCGGGTGCCGGAGACGGGATGTGGGCCGGACAGGTGTCCGGGACCTTGGTGAGGCCCGAAATTGTGGGGATGGGGCGTTTGAACGGCACTCTGGGATGATTGCGGGAGTGGTTATTAACGAATGAGAGTGGGGTGTATAGTCAGAGGGGCAGTTGGAGGTAGTAGAGGAGGGAGTGGGGGAGATGGGTAGAGGGTAAGGACCCCAGGAACGTCGGTGGGCGGACGGGTCCAGGGCGCTGGCCTAGAGGTTTGCGGTTGGGAAGTGGGGAGGAATTGGTATATCAGTTGTGGGATCGGAGTGGACGTGGGAAGATCGTGGGATTGCATTCAGGAATGGCCAAGCCAGAACAGGTGGGGCGGCCGGTGGAATGTTCGTTTTAGGCGGCGGCCTTCGAACAGGTTGGCCAGCCAGATTCCTAGCAAAAGATACGAGGTAATCCAAAGGTTCTAAATAACACTTCGCGTAACAAGCAATGGGGTTTCATGCCGGAGCCATCGACGGCGAAGGCGAAGTATTACTGACCGAGTGACTGCGCCACCGGGCACCCTGCGAGGGGCCGGTCTGCCGTGCTGCGATCCGTTCGCACCGGCGTAACAAAATCCAAATGTAATTAGTTGATTGAAAAGCCTGCATGCAACGGACTAGACGAACCACTTGAAAATGAAGCGACGGAACGAATTTCTGTGCATTGTGTGGTTTGGAGAAGGCCATGACAAACGGAACCCTTGCAACTGCGAAGGCGATGACGTGTACGGGAGCATCCAAGGAATGTCTGTTCCAGGACGCAAGATCACATCCACCGAGTTGCAGCGAAAGGCTTCTTTTGTGTGAGGCCCGAAGGGGCCAATGGCAATGGGGAGTTGATTCAAGCACTGGACCCGCTGCCGCCACGTTTTGTTCAGATGGATCTAGTATGGTTACTCGTACCAAAGCTGATATGTGCTGTCTCGTGATTTACTACAATGGAACGGGATCCAGGCGACGTGTGGTCGCGAGCGCGGCCAAGTCAAGGTGAAAGCCCACAGCAAATGACAAACCACGCTTGAACGCATTGAAAGCCCTGAGGTGGGGGCTGGAGCGCAAGGAAGGACCTTTCGCAGCCACGGCGCAGAGCGGAGGGACGCGACACGGCAGAATGGCAGAGAGCGGCGCAGCGCAGCGTGCGGATCTCCTGCCTCAGTGGTGGGAGGTGCCATTTTGCCCACCGCGGATCCGGCCATCCCCGTCACCCGCGTCTGCCACTCCAGGCGCCCAAGCAGGTGGGCGCGACGGGACACGCGTGGCGATGCAAGGCGCAAGAGCTGTGGTAGGCGTGGGTGCCGACATCCCACAACCGCAAGCGAAACCTTGCGGCTGGGCACGGAAAAGGAAAAAGGCAAAGCGGGGCGGGCCTTAAGCTGGGGCCACCACTCCCTCGCATACCACTAAAAGAACGCCCACTTCAGGCTGTACGTGGGACAAGCTCGCCGGCTTTGCGGTCCACTGGAAGATCGCCCACTGGAGGCTGCAGCGCGGTGGTGATCTGGCCGGCCAAGGGAACAACGCAGTGCGGTGGGTTGGCGGGGCCGTCCCAATCAAAGGTGTGACCTGTCAACGACGATGGCGGTGCCGTGTTCCGGCCGATGCTGGGCCTGCCGTCGACCGATCCCTCCTGGCGGCTGCAGCCTTGGCGCGGGCGCCTTACTGCCCTCCACTCTTGCCGGCCCCGCGCCGAAGCCCTGCTGCGCTAGCAAACTTACCCGCCATTCTGATGAAAAGATGCTTTGCCCCCCAGCCCCCACCCACTCTCCCATCCGCTTCTGCCCTTCCCACACCAATTCAACCTTTTTGTTGTGCGAGGAGTGGAGTTTTCGACGCGGACATCGACTTCACCCCGAGTCCAAGGAATGCGTGAAAGGATGTTTCTGTTTTTTTGGTTGGCTCCCTCAGCGCAGTCGTCACCTCCTTTCCCCACCCCCACCCCCACTCATTTCAAGCGTTTTGTTGTGCCCGAGCGCCGGCCAGCGTTTGCCCGTGCGCTTCCTGTGGTGTTTGTGAATGCCTTGGGGCAAAGGCCCGCCAAGTGTGAACAACCATCATGATCCCCCACCCTACCGGCCCAGCCATAATGTCCAGAGATTGGCTGCCCATCTGCCACTCAATCGCTCTCAACACCGGCCCAGCCATAGTCTCTGATTGCAATCAGAGACTCAATTGAGTGGCGACTCAGAGGGGACTGAGGTGCCAAACTTGGCCAGCACAGCAAGCGATCCCCACAACCGGGCCTGGCTGCGGCCATCGCCTGCTATGGCGCCAGCCAATCGGCAGTCAATCTCCGGTCAATACTAGGGCAGCCAAGGCGCCGGCAGCCAGCGCCTAGGCAGCCCCGCCTTGCGCCTCGCCCACGCCCTCCCCGTGCCAAAGCTATTCGCAAGCGCCCTCCTGCATGCTTGTTTCTGCACGCTCCTTGTACATGTGGTGTGCAACAGACCAGCACGGATGAAAAAGTGAGAGGTAGAAAACCATGGCGAACGGACGACAGACCATGAATACTGATGTGTAACGGGCAACAGCTTATATCACCATCTTAAAAGCAAAGGGAAAAATCACGGACAGAATTAAATCTGTCAACAATAATGGAAAACATACTGCAAATTTTTGTGGGGACGCTAACACTGCGCGCCCGTGCATGGAGGTAAAGAGGAGATTTCCTTCCGAGTCCGTTTAAATGTTGTCCACAGGCAGCAGGCCTGTTCTCTATCACCTCTCTCCTCTTGTCAATCCGCAGATTTTTAAACTAATTCCATAAGAAACGGGTGCTGAAACACTATAGCTCGCAAGACGCGAAAGGGAAGTATTGTAAAGGCCAACCGCATGGCGCCCAAGCCGTTGGCCCCTCGATTTGGTGCATGGCATTAACTAATGGCACTCGGCTTCAAATTTGATTCCACATCACTAGATTTTATCACCCCAACCTTTCCCCCATTGCCGCGCCGCAATCGGTGCATGGATGGGCACATCAATTGGCGCACCGATGGATGCACATATTGGTATAACAATCGTTGCATTCAATGCTATACTAATTGCTGCACGAGCTCACCCGACGATTGAATAGCATTTCATGCACTCTCTAGTTCTTTCAAATTGATCTTAAAAGATCAAGCTTAGGTGCCTGCAGTTCATTGCCACTGAACATCTCCAATAATTTTGAAACGCCTTTCAATTCATCTATCTCTCAAGCCGTCCTGGCCATCTCTATTTGGCCCTCGGCACATCACACACATGTGTTGCGTCATATATCTCAAGGGCCCGCGCGCCAGTTCAGTCAAACACTGCGGGTGGCCACTTCAGGGAAACCGGCAAGGGGCCGCTTGTTGTCACACTGGCTTGTGTCGCACAATTTGCTGCATCGAATACATATTTGATATATGGGCCCAAGCACCTTGTGCAAATATCTTCATGCGCTCAGTGCGACTGCAGGACGTTGCGACACGACGCCTGCAATGTCGTGGCCTCAAGCCCGCCGTGGAAGCGACGACCCCGCGTCTGAGGCACTGAATGCATGATGCATCCACGTGGCTTGAAAGTATGACACAAGGCTCGCTGAGTACTGTATGGTACGTAGCTGACCATTTGTATCCTGAAACGGCATTGTTCGCGATGCTCATGCACCTGAGGGAGGCTCCATCGACTTGCAGACCGAGCCGCAGTGGAAGAATGTTTGCCACACCCACGAGGGACACACCCACTGGCGATTGGTGCGGCGGAACACCGCGCCAGCAAAAATGTTGACATAGTTGATTGCAACTGGGCCTGCTTCTGTCGATGCATTGTTTATCGCTGGGTGTTTTTTCCTAGAAATTGCTTGATTTGAAGTGTCTCACCAACATTATCCCTAAATATAAACTTGTGGCATAAACACGTGCTTGTGGATACCACATTTGGCCCCATCCCAAGAGACATTTATTAGTCGCGCTTCTTAAAGATTTTCATTAGATATCTCTTTGACTGTTCCCAACAAATCTTATGTGTTTTTAGTATTTTGCAATTTGCAGCTAACTGGGAAAATTTTTTGTCAGAATGAACCTGTCAAACTGCACACACAAATTATGCATTTCTGATTGATAGTGTTTGTAAACGCTTGTCTTTGTGAAGTGGCACTTATTGTACTGTGATATATCGTGCTGAATGATGTATTGTGATTCACTGCTATGTAGATCTATGTAAAGTTGTGTCGATTGGACAGTTTGTTGGCCCGTTGTCTTCCGTTGTCTATCAGGCCGGTGTCAATGAATTTTGGGGAGGCTCAGCCCCGTCCTCAATGGCGGAGGAGTACGGAGATCCGTACTCCACTCGAGTGGACAAGGGGGCCCAGTCCTCCAGGTTTGGGCGCCCACGAGACGGTCGCCGATGTTGTTTGGAGAGCCCCGATATGAACGCTTTACGAGGTGTGAAGCTGCTGAAAACGAGTTTTTGAAATTTGCGAAATCGGAGTCGCTGCTTGGGTTCGAATGTGCCAATCTGTGGCGACTCCGCTGATCGATCGTGATGCCATCATTCCGGCGCTGGCCGCTTGGGACACGAGAAGGAGACGGGACCCGTGCCCGCAAGAAAGACTGGTGAAAAAAAACACATACCTCTTCTGTTCGGAATGAATTGTCCTCTACCTGAGGGACAATTTTCGTTACAAGAAAAGCCGGAAAACTGCAAAAAAGAGTTTCAAATCATAAAGATTGTGTCCCAAATCCCTTGGTATCAATTTTCAATTAGAATGCACAAAATATAAACTGCCAATTAATGTGAATGCGT